TAATGAAATTGAGTTCTTACAGAATTATATTTGTTGTGTTTGGCAAATAATAGTTGATTTCATCAAGCCAAATTCTTAAAAAGAATATAAAGTTATCATTCTTATAACGTGGGTAGAAGGAACGCAGCAATTCTAGCTACTGATTCCCAACATGAAGTTTCTCAGTTTTGTAGAGTAAAACTTGAATATTCTGCCTGGTTCTAGAATTCTGTCACAGGTACAACCATCACTCTGGGGAAGAGTGGCTGAAATGGTGACTTAAAACAGCATTATTTTTGAAAACTGATTATACCATTTAAAAAACACAGAGTGTTGGTAAACTAAACAGATACGTTTGGCTACTACTAATCCATATTTTTCATCACTGTGAAAAATATGAGAAGGACAAGGCTGAATGCATTCCAGAAAACTTTTAATACCAGTTTCATTCAGCGTGCTTCAGATTGTTACAGCACAAGAAATGCTAGCGGAAGTCAGGCGGATTAAATGCCAAACAAGTACTTAACCAATTAGAACGATGGAAAACTAGTTAGACTACATAATTCTCTTGGATTGTGGAGCAATGCTTGAGAGAGAGAGATAAATGTCATCACAGTCTTGAAGTGAATTGAAGGTCTCAAGTGCAGCTTTCTGCTGGTCCTCAGAAGCGTTCACCTTCCATAAAATGGTAAAATGTCAGGCCTGAAGAATACAGTTGCTACCCAATTCACATGAGGTAGACATGTGACCCTGGTATGGGTTTCAAAACCAGTCACCTATCATTTTAATGCAAGATCTGTGGGGTGTGGTGTGAGATTACTAATGACACCAAAGTGCTGGCCTTGCTTCAACAGCAAGATAAGGAGACTCAGAGATAAGTGAATAGACTCATTTTGTTAATACACAGCAGAGTTTAGTAGTCAACAATCAAATTACACCCATACGCTTGCACAAATGGGTAAAAATACCTCTATTTTTAATTGTTAAAAGCTGATGTCAAAATCTCTAAACTGATGCCGCAAATTATATTCCTATGCCTGTTTTTACGACCTAGCCCTCTTATTCTGAACTCAGTATAAGGAGGTGGAGTTCAGCCCTTGTGCAAAACCACACTAGTGATACAGAATTTAAAAAGCAAATTAGGTACTCGATTTTCTTTGCTTGATGTCTGTCCCCAAAACATTGAAACCTGTCTTCTTGCCCTTCTACATCACTCAATGTACTGTCAATACCTAACAAACAGTAATGTATTAGATAAACCGATTCAGAAACAATTTTTTTAATTCGGGGTTTATTTTCCTTGATTCACTTGTCTACAGCTATAAGGCTTGCAAAAGAAACACCTTCATGAACATCTAGTATAGTAGTTTTTATTCCTCCAGGACACCAGACTAAACCAAGTGTTCACTCATCCATGGAATTAAAACAAAAAGGACAAATGTTTTGCATCCTCAGTTTTAGAAAGCAGTATCTAGAACAAGAGGACACTTATGAACCCAGGAACCAAATGAACATAGAAATACCAGGTGTTTCATGGTTGGACTGGATGATCTTAAAGGTCTTTTCCAACCTAAACGATTCTATGATTTATTTCAGAAGATGCAGCTCAGAATTCTTAATCAGTTTAGAACTTTTTCTTATAAGAAATCTGGACAACAGAATTTATCTCCATCAGTCTCACACTAACAGGTACAAATTCCTCTGTTGAAAGAGATTAGGTTATTTCTTCCATACCTGCAGTATGGTACAGAGCAGCAACATCTTTCGAGACTGTAATAATGTAAAAAAACTAATATTGAGTAACTTGAATGCTTCTCTTCTCATATATACTTTTAAGGGGTTTAACCCTTCTCTGAGTAGGAGTGTTTACAAAATGTCACTTGGTGAGTCATACCATGCTTCTGCTTGCTCCTACAGTTTCAGCAGATAAGCCCTGAAATAAAGCGCAAATAGGAGCACAAACATAACAAGATACATTAAAAAATACTGCAAAATTGTTATGCATGAACTTGGACCATACAAGCCTTCTCTTGGCTGTATTTTTCCACACTTTGTGACATAATATTCCCTACACACATAGATACCCACACATGCACAGTATTTCTCATTCACCACCTCTTAAAGAAGTGATGATTAGCCAATCTTACCTCATTCTCCCCCACATACATAAACCCAGATACAGAGGGAGAGTTGTTTGTTTTTACAGCACCTTTCTAAATGTATTCATTTTTTGAGAGTTTCTGTGGCAGCTTTGAACATTGCTGGTGGGCCTCATCTACAGTCTGAGAGCATCCCTAGAGGACATAGCTTAACATAACAACCTATGATCTGCATATACAAAAGTATTTTAACTGGTGTACCAAGTCCTGTGGAGCTTGCAAATCTAAAACAATTTTAAAAATGAAAGTACTAGCACGCATAGTACATGGGAAATTAATTTGTCTATACGAGAGAAATTGTGAACTTTGCAAATACCATGGGATGTAGCACTGCAAGGGATTAATTTTTGGCATTAGAACCATTCCAAGATTTCAACCAGAGATCTGAGTCAGAAAAGAAATCTTTTTACACATATAGCTGTAGCCTTTATTACTAACTGTAGCCCATGGCATCTTGGCTTTAGGACCTCACCTGATGCAGAACTTTGCTCCACCTCACATGCTGTTTTGCACTCTAGTTTTACATATGTATTTTAACACAGAGCTAGCAAAACCCACTGGCTCCATGACTCGATTGTGATGCCAGATACACCTCTTCATATTAACGTTTAGAATTTATTTCCAAGTTGAACATCAAGGAGGATGTCAGCTGAATTCTGCAGGCAAAAGATCAATAAATGGATGCAGTTTGAAAAGCTGGCTACATTCCTTAATGATCCCTGTGATCAACTGAAATTTTTATCATTTTATTCGAAGAAACCCAGTTGCCAAATTTCTGATCATTCTTCCCACACACTGAAACCAAGGAAAAGGCAGAAAAGTAAGTGTAGAATTGCCAAACAAGTCACAGTTACTTTTCTGACTTTTGTCAGCTCATAGTGAAACTAAAACAGATTCTAAAATAAAAAGAAATTCCAAAATGTGTTTTGACTTTTAAAATTCTAAAAAAAAAGTAGCTAATAAATTATTTTTAGTCATTCTGATTAGAGTTTGAGTATTATTCTGGATCATAAAAAAAAAGTATTTCCCCTAATTCTTGTTAGGTGTCATAACTACTTTCTGTGTGAGAGACACTTTGATTTATCTGAGCATATAAAATGCATCATATTGCTAATGGCTGAACAACTATTTTTAAGTGAAGAAGACCACTTAGACGCAGAAGTTGTATTGGCCACACCTACACCTGTTCCACTGTCTGACTGTATCCCTGGATGCCCATATTTAAGAGGCTTGTAAGCCTGCCTCCTATAATCCTCATACCTACCCTATCTACCAGAAAAAGCTCTTGCTCAGCCTTCATTACTGTTACTGACATGATGTCTTTACTGTGGCTCTTGCTTGAACTGACTTGTTCTACTTGACAAAAATCACTAAGTAGCAAAGTGGTTCTTCTCAAATGTAAAGCGACTTGTTTTTCTCAAAATATTCTAAATTTTATGTAGCCTAATAGAAGGGTTTAAGATGTTAGTTTTGTCTTCAATCTTGAGAAGGAAAATGTGATTATTTCTTCTGTGCTCCCATTTGTTAATGGAGTGGATTCAAAAGGAGCATTGCAAATTGTTGCCATATAATTTCACAGAGCTTTGTTCTGATCAAAATTTTTACTTGGGAGTTCAAGGGGAGACTTGACATATTACAACCTGTAAAACAATCCTGTAGCTAATTCAGATACTTGTGGCTTCCAGACTAAAGACCTGGTTTAATGTGATGCTCTGAAAGAATCACAGTCTGAGAGAGGAGATATGTTACTACTATTGGCAATAGGGCTGTCAACGGACTTCAAGTTTGCAAGATTGTGCCGTATTTACTTTAGAGCAGCCCCACTCATTTCAGCAGAACTAGATGAACACAAATACACCATGATGGGATCCTCACTCAGACAAAGCTTTGAGGCAGATATGCCTAGACCTATAGCAATCCCTACCTCCAACCAAAGGGCTTTCAAACTCAGATAAACTGGTATATCAGTAGATATACTAGAATAGTTAACTTTTTAAATAGAAAAATCTTAACCTGACTAGGTAAAGCAGAGTAGAAATGACAAAGTTTATTCTTTTATTCAGAGCTCTCCTTTTGCCTAGTATGTATTTGCTGCTGCTTTATTCCTCCCAGGCTTATTTTATTTGACTCAGTAACTTTCTGAATGGTGATAAACCCTGCTCAGACTCCTCTGGTCCTATACTGTGCACTTGACACTCCCATTTCTCCTACATGAGATCAGTATAGTTAACAAAGAATTTTCATCGCAGTATAGGCATAAGGTATAGGAGAAACAGAGGGACTCAAAAGTTGTGATGCTTCATGTAGAGGTAGTTGACAAAATATTTTACCAACCCATTTTCTTTAAAAAGTGCTACTGCACAGGACACATAGGAGACAGTAGGGACTAGCCTTGTAGAAAGCACCAACTGAGAAAATACATTTTCTGGTGGCCCTAGCAAACTGGCAGAGCTGCATTTGTAGAAACGCCCCCCTCAACCCAACCCTTTTCTATCCATACTTGATCCTTCCAGCACCTATGGCAGCATAACACTTTAATGCAACACCCTCTAGGAAGAGACACTTAAGCAGATGCATCACCTACAGTTCACTAATTTCCTATTGTGCGTTTGCACTCCATAAAGTGCTCACAGAGGAACAAAGAAGTCTACCTGCCAGCTCAACTGGGTTAATTTTTTTTTTTTTTTTTTTTTGCAATACCTTTCCAAAAACTTCAGGTTTTGTTCTGTTTTGACCCATGTGACAGGTAGTTTTACCCAGAAAACACAAGGTCTAACTTTGGTAACATAAGTATAGCTAAACAGAGGGTTATTAAGTGATTCATGAAGGATCTAAAATAAAAGATGGAAAAATTAAATATACCACATGGCATTCTGCAGCCTGTGAAGAAGGAAGAACTGTAGACTTTTGTCCCAAATCCTTTGAAGACATCTTTGAAGTGTCTGGAGAAATACTAGGTGGATGTTCTTGGATTTCAGGCTCTGCTTTATTGTCAGGGATGGGAGCTATCTGAATAGAAAGAGATGCTGTGTGTATCTCAGGCACGGGGTTACAGGCAGGTGAGACAGGCCTTTGTGGAAATACTGGCACTTCAACAGGCTCGAGCTCTTGCTGTGTATTACAATGAATGCTACCCGCTGGGTCATGTGTCCGGGTTAATTTCAGGGTAGATACCCTACGTTTTTGAGACTGTTGCCTTTGGCCTTGATGGAGAGTAGTACTAATACCAGCTACTGTGCTTGTGCCTGCACTGGAGATCGAGGTCAGTGGTTTAATGATTTTTTGTGCATAGGACACACTTGTGTTAGATATTTGAGAAGACATTGTCTTCTGGACAGACTTCTCGTTAGTGTAACAGACAGTATCTGTGGGAAGGTGATTAGCTGGACCGGTTGTTACTGCCTGGAGATTAATTTCGTTCTTGTGATTAGTTACTCTTGCTTTCTGAAAACTTTCTTTTCTAGGGGGTGGCAGAGGTGCCTTATTTGCCAAAAGCATCCACACACAGCAAAATAACATTGAAGAAGAAACAGAAAGAAAGTAAATGTTAGCAGGAAATATAACTCAGTTTGACTTTTATCTTTAAATAAAGGAACTAGCAACTTATGGGGCTTCATCCCAACATCGCTCAATTCAATAGACAATTGAATTGGTCAGGTTCCCACCACCTTTTGCTGTGCAGGGCTGTACAGCTTGTGTTTAGAAAGCCAGATGTTCCATTTGCTCAGAGTAAACTGGGATCAGAAGGGAGCCCACAATAGTCCATTTTCTTTTAAAAAAACAGTTATTACACTGAATAAGAATTATGACTGTGAAATTGTTCAGATATGTAAGTAATTTCCAAAATGTACTCCATGCTCTTAGATAACAAGCTATTACTCACAGGTAACAAACATACATAAGACACACAGAGCCTCTTAAACCTTCAAATTAAAATAGTAACAGAGACAGTATTGATGTTGGTATGTTGATCTTTTTTGGACAGATAAATATGTTTCCAAGTTAAGTGTGTTTTTTTTTTTTAGTGTGCTCTAATTACATTGTTTTGCAAAACAGGCAGAAACATTATCAACCTTATAATTAATAAGTCTTTTTCCTCAGATATTATTTTGATGACTGATGCATTTCTCTGAGTGTAAAATATTAATAAATACTCTTTGAAGTCTGGGAACACCCCTAGAAAGCTTTTATTTGTGTATGACCTACTTTTATTTAGCTGGCTGCCTTGTTCATTGAAAGCAATTTCTGGTAATTAACCTGGAGGCATGCATCCTGTGTTGAGTATACTTTATCTATGCAGTAAACCAGTTTGTAACAACCCATACAAACAGGTGATTTGCACTATCTGGAAGACATCAGGACAATGTTCCATAGAGGTATCCCATCTATATATACTATCCCCCAAGAATAACACCCACACAAATGCCAAAGCATGAAACTTGGTGTTCGGTTTTACCTGAGTTGGTGATTTTTTATCCTGTAGATTTGGCCGCACGCTCCTAAAACCTTTTGCTGTAAGAGATGAACTGCTAGCATCTCCATTCAGTGTCTCTCTACTTCCATCATTGTAAGATCTCCAAGCTTTTGTGAGGAAAAAAGAATCAAACCATTTTTTTGGTGATTAGTAGATCTCTATATTGTTATCATCATAGCAACCCAGCTATTAAACTGTGGAAAAGTTTAGCTACTACACAACTGACATTGCTGCTGTTATCACCATGCAAGTTATAAGAACAGGGCTAAAGCTGCCACCTTACAGAATATTTATCTTTAAAATTTAGAAAATGCAAGCATTGACAATACTGCTGGTAGCAGTTTGATACCTCCCCACAACATTCATACAGACTATGGATTTTAACCTTGGGAGTCCTTTTGAGATGTTGGTGCCTTGGCCCCTGTATAAAGCAGGCTGAAGTACTTTCATAGATTAGGTTCCTGAACTTCACAGCTGCATGGGATTTTAAAAAACATTCCAGCTCACTTAAAGTTAGTTCGTCATGGTAGTTTCACCAAATTTCACCACAATACCTGATTAGTTGTTCCAATAATGCATCTTATTTCCAAATCTGAATGACACCTCACTTTTCCAACCCAGCAACCATGTTTTGTCTCTATCCTCAGAGCTGAAGAGCCCTCAAGGCATTGTCAAAACGCAGAGGGAGATACTATCTTGCCTCAACAAGTTACAGATTTGAAGACAAAAATTGTAAGAGGATGGGAAAAGTAACACATTATGTGAGCAGGCTGCTAAGTGGGATGGGCAGAACTTGCAATCCTGAGTAAGGGATGAAAAATGAAACAGCAAGTGCCACTGAAGCTAAAAGTGGCAAATTAGCAGTCTCTGTTCTCCCACACAATTCATTTTCTGACAACATATATTGTGTTACAGGAAATACTGCTTTCAAATGAGACCTGAATTTGAGGTCTTAATCACTTGCAATTATTATTACAATTTCTGTGGTGCTTTCCTTAAAGAATGTGGATGTATGGAGTAATGAAATCAAATAAATGGAAGATTGTTATAATTCATCCACTTACATGGTATTACATGGATGCATAAATAACACAGTGTTTTATTTACCTGAATCTGGAGACTGAGAATCAGACCCTGAAAAAGAAACATCCAGTATTAATTTTTCTTAGAAATAAAAACATGATGACACAACTTGAAAAATATGTAGGAGTCTTTTTTGTTCACTTTTGTAATTCCCTCCTGTTACCTAAGCACACCTCAGAATATTAGACCACAGGTAACTGTGCAACGTTTATTGCAAAAGTTCTACAGAAGGTTATATTTTGCTGAGAGTTACTGTTATTTAATCACTGCTATTTCAGACAGCCAATAATAAACAAATATTTGCTGTGTTTTTTTCCAGTAAATACTGTGATATACTACTATCTAAAATCCAGATATCAAAAGAAGTATCACTCCTTTAAGATGAGCTGGAAAGGTTTAATTCAAAACCAAGAAAGATGCCTACAGATTCTGTCAGGATTTTCTCTCCCCCTTCACACCAGAATGTGTGATGCTTTCTTCATCACTTCAAAGCAAAACACAGAAACTGATACATACATACTGCCAGCACAAAACAGATTTTAAATTCGGGTTGCTTTTTGGATTACTTGTAGACATATTAGTGGGTTTTTTTCGTCCTAAAGCAACTAAAATTATGACATCTCTAAACAAATTAAAAATATTTTTAATGTACAATAATTATAGTACTAAGAGCACTCCATATCACTAATTTTAAGCACAACAAAGCGAGACATCAAGAGGCTTGTATTGCATGCTTAAATGATAAGAATTTGTTGGAAGGGTTGCTAAGAAATAAGAACCCAATGTTTTCTTAAATTTACATACTCGCAGTAATTCCAATAACCCTTCCACTATCCTTACAAAGATTAGCAACTGAATTTTTAATTTGCTTCATAAATTCTAACAGTTCTTATTCCTAGGAATTAGTCTTATATTTGAAAAGATCTACAAAACAAAGACTTTATCTTGCAATTATTTTCCGGCTCATTCTTTATTCAGCTTCCTGTATTATACTTGTTTGGTGTGAACACTGCATGTTCAGATTGCTGTAAATTAGTCTACACCACTCAAGATTCTTTACTGATCATATACCTACAACTACTTAATTCACCAGTGAACCCAGGCAGCTGATACCCATTAAGATTTAATTTTGCAAAACCAGACGTGAGTATTGCTAAGAAGCAGTTCTGCCTGTCTGCTGAATATTACGCATGTTTTTATTGTTTTAAACATTTTTAGGAAAACATGCTCGCTAAATGATGTTTTTAAAGTTAATCTGGCTTCTGACGATCATTTTGCAACAACATTCAGATTCTTTTCCTTTCAGAAGAGTTTTTAAAGCAAGTTGCAATAAACAAGGTTTGTAATAAACAAACCCTACTTTTCATGCTGTTATCTTTGAAAAAAAACAGGGGACATGAGACCCAAAATACGTATCAAAGCCAAAATTAATTTATAAATGACAGATTTTTCCTAGGTCTTCCTAATTTTTTTCATTAATGGCTACTAAGCATAGGCAGAGAGAAATTAAGACTACTTTTTAAAGAGCATTGTAGAAGTAACAGACCTGTCAGTGGAATAGAAAGTACGGTTACCCTTCTCCTCCTTGCTAGGAATGCGTAACACTACAGAAAAGCCATTCAGGAGCAGTATCTCACTGGTTAGCAGTTATACCTGAGGCCAATAGGTTTGGAGAACTCTGAACTCTCTTCACAGCTGTTAATGTGACAGACATTGCAGCACGTTTGCGAGCACACCCACCGCTATCTGGAAGCACAAAACAATACAGACAGCAGCCCCAGACAAAGGGAGCAAGCACATGCAACATACCACAGTGTGAGATATGCCAAACATACATGAAAATAAGCACGCAGTTAGGGAACTGCTGCAGGAATGTGTAAATTTGCAAGTTTCGCAGATTAGCAGAATACATAAAATTTCACAAGCTTTTAACAACAATAAACCTCACAGAAAATAAGTAAAGAAAGCAATATTTAATACTTAATCCACTAGGGAAATATATACATTCTGTCACCTGAAAGACTGCTTAATTATAGCTAATTAGTAAAAAAAACCCCAAGTAATCAAGATGAAGGATTAAGCATTCCAGAGTAATATTAATCAATAATCTGCACTGTAAAATCATTTCTTTGTATGCATTAGAAAGACACCATTCACAAACTAAGCTTATGTTTGATCAGCTGACAAAGCGCTTTTCTTCAATCTTTTGGATCCTTTAAGCTCAAGAAACAAAACTACTACGGATGGCATAATTTTTTGTTGTTTTGGTGGAACATCCTTGTCTTCCCTCCCCCCTCTTCTTTTCTATCTAATGCAAAATAAAAAAATGTATGTCTGGAACCCAATAACATCCTGAGGGAATGACTAGAAATCTAAAATCGCTCCTAACAACCAGGAATGGAAAAAACCCCTTTCTTCTGGGTCTTGCATGACTCCTTTCTTTCCTTACTCTCTGCTCCTCTCTCACCTGGAGCTGTCATTCTGTTTTATAAATACATTGTTATTATTAGAAGGTAGCTTTCCCACAACTTAGATTTTTAGCAACATTATCAGAGTTGTAAAAGCACGTTAATAAATATTCTTCCTGATTATATTTAACTGGAATATTTTTCTGCTCTTCAATGTAATAATTATTTTAATTTTCATACTTGATATTACTGAAATTTCATACAGGGCCCCACCGAAGTCAAGAACCACAACTACAATACAGGCCCATCTGTGTCGCATGACAGCGAGTTTTATAAAATTATGCTTAAGAAAGACGTGCAACCTATTAGTAGAAAGTATTTCCTATGATAGCAGTAATTTGAGCCACAGAGACATCTTTAACCCACGTCTGGAAGAGAAGTGAGCTCCTGGCATTTCTTTGCTCATTCCAATATTCCCCTGAAATAGCAGAGCCCTCTGGCCACAGGTCTTGCAGGATATGCATTAAGTAGTTGTTAACGTTGGCAAACATCAGAGTCACTGCCCCAGGTGTAAGTAGCTCCAGAGACTCATTGCCAATTCTAAGTCTCAAGGCAAAAGGCCAAATTCAGGCAGCAATAGTCGAAAGCAATATATTACCCACAGTTAATTATTGGTGGTGTGCGTGTGAAACAAAGACAATGGCTATCAAATCTGCACATTTGTTTTAGTTTGCTTACATAAACATAGAATGGCAATGGGTAATTAAAATCACATTTTCCATTCTTGTATTCCCCACCCCCCCCAACATACACCGGAAGTAATTTCAAGGAGATTTGATGATGTGTTGATATTGAGGTTCTGTTCTTATCTGAATATTGGCAGACTTTGACAGCGTCCTTTATTTGATTAATACAAGCTATCAGGCAAACAGTTTTATTAAACTGCCACACCTTCTATTCAAACAAAGCGATACTTTATTTGTATTTTTTCCAGAGCTACCTTCCTGAATTTCAGGATAAGGAAACTGAAGTGGGAGGAAAGGAAGACAATGAGAAAACTGACTACAAATATTTCATCATTGTAACTTTAAGAAATTCTGCTTCAAATTAATTTTTAATGTAACTGAACTGAGTCAGAGTTTTATACTTAGTGGACCCATTATCTAGCAAAGTGTTTGACATGGCTTCATACAAGATAGCTAAAACAGATGTTGTAACTGACTATATACATATATGCATACAATATTTACCCCTCTATATAGAAGTCCATATGCAAGTCTGCACCTGCAATAACATTCTCAGTATCTGTACAAAATAATGAGAGTCAATGAACACTCATTAAGACATAACCGCACAAATATACCATATTGAGTTGTGCAAAATTTCTAATAAAATATGAATGTGTGAGGGCAAACACATGTTTATGCATGATGGACTCCATCTTCCCATCTTTGTTCAGGCCAGGCTCCCATTAAGTCAAGGGCATCATATCTGAAGGAGGATCAGCAGAATCTGCACGCTGCCTCAGAAGAGGCAGTTTTCAAACTGCTTCTCTTATCTGCATGTCCTTACATAGTTGAACTTCAAGAGACTTATTCCAGCCTGTATTCCTTTTTTGTAGCTCCATCAATTTTCCAGCAAACACTAACTATATTCACCCAGTTTCTTGAAGTCCAAATAACACCGAAAAGCTCAGTCTAGAGAATAGAGAATTCAAAAACAGTAAGGGAGGCTGAATTAACGATCATCTGCTCATTTCACTTGGAAACTATAAGCAATTAATATTGCACAGCTGTTACTCAAGGAACCAATGAGGGTATGTGAAACAATCTATACAAAATGTATGCATATATAAAAAAATGAAATGTGTGCAAATATGTATACACATATGTACAATTCTCTGTGCTTTTGACATGACGAATTCTTCAGGAGTGAGAGTCCTGTCTTCCTAGGTATTGTTTTAACATTGAAGCAAAGGAGACCTGAATCAGCTAAGGTCTGCAGGCAATAATAGAATATGAAGTTGGACAATAATTCACAATCAAAACAGCTGCCTAAAAAGCAAGTCCAGCTCAAATCAAGACTTAGCACGGTTGGTGCCTAGATATTCTTTTGCAAGCCCTGCATACTCCCATCAAATCAGGAAAAGACAAATAAGCATCCTCAGCAGGTACTGCAGAAAACAAAGGCGAAAGGGGAGGTAAGGATTATCTGGTGAGATGTTTCGCACAGTATTTTGCAGAGCAAGGGTCTTATAGAGATGAACTCCTGAACACTAAGATCAATGTTGCAGACTTAACTTTAAAAAGAGAAAAAGAGCGAGCCACCCACTGACTGGAAAAGACAGGCAAGATGGTGGCTCACCCTCCAGCTAGGAGGATGTGTGTATTTGTGTATGTATCCTAAGTCTCTGCAGCAGGGGTCTGGATGCTCTCTTCCCCTTGTTAGCTCACCATTCAGCTCTTCTCCCTTTGCCAACTCCCCTGCTGCAATTTTTCTCTTCAGCCTTTCTCCATTCCTCACCTTCCCTCACTTCTTTCTCCTGTCCTTAATTCTGTTTCTCTCCACAAATAACTACTTTAACCCTTTCCCTCTAAATCCACAATCCCAACAACTGCTCCCGCTACAGACAGCATCAC